TGAAATGGTCTATAACATTTGATTCATAAAAACATGGTGTAATGTTTTTTTTAGGCTGCTGACAGTATTTTATGATTTATGAAGTGATAAAAGAGATGTCCTCCTCTGTAAAAACCTTAAACTATATTATTTCAATGCATTCTCATCCCAAGGCGTCATCTAACTGACACTTTTGACCATGCTTCAACATCCGCCGGTTTAGGCACCTTTTAGCGTCAGTTAGGTGACGCTATCCTAGGGCGTCATCTCACTGACGCTTTACCTTTAGCATCAGTTAAATGATGCTATCCTAGGGCGTCATCTCACTGATGCTTTACCTTTAGTGTCAGTTAGATAATGCGGGTGGGTTTGGGTCTGAGGTAGGGTTAGGGTTAGACCACTAGGATAGCGTCATCTAACTGACGCTAAAGGGTGTGGATGTTGAAGCATGGTCAAAAGCGTCATTTAGATGACGCCTTGGGATGATAATGGGCTGATTTGTGATATATTTAAGCAGTCTTTTAGAAAACGAAACAATACAAAATGAGAAATATGGCAATATACCCATGGTGTCTTAATTGTATTGCTTATCTGTCTTTCATATTCATACTTAAAGGCACACTATGCAAGATCTGTACCTTAATATAACAGCTTCAAAGTCGTTTTGGTGCTAAACAAAGTCATAGTGGGGCGAATCATTATGGTAGTAAAGCTTGGGGGGGACGCCCCTGACAAGTTGCGCAAGAATCACGAAATGCTTTACGACAATGACGTCACACACAGAAATGTCCAGAAAAAGGAAAAGAGAATCGGACCATGCAAGAAACCGGATAGGAGTCCCACTCGGATAGGCTTTCAATCGTTGAGGTGAGCTTAAAAGCAGCAATGGATTCAATGCTGACGTGACGATCTTGTTGATGGACTTGTAAGTAAATATCTTATTTGTAACCTTGTTTGGTTTCTATGTTGTATGTTGCTGCACTGGCTTGTAGTTTGTCATTTTTTACGGTGCTGTTCATTCATCCGTTGTTGATAATTAGACCAGTTCAATAATTCCCACATATATTTAGCTATCTTTCGATTACCAGAGATGTAAGCAGACTTCCTAACAAACAGTCGCTTCTCTTAGTTTTGTTGTTTTTTCGTTATGTTTTATTGCTGAGCTTGCCACAAGAGCTAGTTTGCCAGCTGAACTCAGGTGTTGTGATGTGTATTTATAACGTAACGTTAGTCCTGTGACTGGTTCGGATTTCTTAGCGTGCGTACTGTGCTTATACAAACTTTAGCTGACTAACAGTGCACTTCCCGACTGTAATTTTTCTTCAAATTGTGTTGATTATGAATCAATTAAATCTTGACGCTGCTGATGTTGATTCCTGTGATTATCATGAGGACATAGTCAATATTTCACATAATTATTAGGACATATATAAGCCTAGAAGTCGCAAACAGTGTAATTGAACACAATGTGCTTACTATTATGATAAATTGTAATAATCACACTGTAAAAAATTTCTTGTCAAATTAACAGTAACTTACTGGCAACAATTATCCAGTACTTGCTGTATTTCATTTAACAGTAAAATTACCGTAACACTAACTACAGTACTGTTAAGCATACTGCAAATTAAATAACATTATTTTACTGTAATTTCTTACCATATTAAAGTACAGAATTACACTGTTAATTTTTAATAATACTGTATAGTATGAAATGTTATTGTATTTATTTTATAGTGCTACTACTGTGTAACCTGTAGAAAATCCGTAGAAATATTATTTTAACTGTTAATGGGAAATAGAAAAAAGAACAATGAAGCTTTAACTGCACAAGGTTTATTGTGTATTTTCAAACACATTAGTACATTTACATAATATACATTTAAATACATTAATACAATTAAATACATTAATAATAAAAAATGTAATATAATACAATAAAAATCATGCATGACAATCATGAACAATTATGCATAAATACATGCAAAAATTATCATGCAACAGGTAAAATAGAAAAGATTAAAGGGGTGCTATCTGATCAATCTATTAGAAGATAGTTCATAACAACTCATCCACCCACTCCCTGCTGGGGTAAAACAGCTTAAACTAGTCTAAGATTGTCTATTTGCTTTTGAGATAGACTGTTTTGTTTCTATCTAAGGGACAGATTTGCAGGGCTGGGAGACACATATAAACTTATAAACTATAAAAGCTTTGACGAGTAAACCACCAATCCAGATGAGTATAACAAAATGACAAGTTATCCAGTGTCCTTTAAAAAAAAAAACTAAACACAAAACAACCTCATCATGCACATGTGCCATGAAAAACTTGCATTACGGTATCAATAATTATTTAAATGCAGACTTAGACCCTGTTTACACCTGGTATTAAAATGCGATCTGTATCCAGATAAGTTATCCGGATAATAAAAAA